GCATTTTTATTAATTCTTTGAGAATTTCATGCTAGACATTTTGATTATATTAAACTCTCCAACTTCTCACACATACCATCCTGAATGCTTACTTCATACCAACCAAATTTTGAGATTCCCTGCCCATGCCATGAAGTCAGTTTGTGTTGCTCAACTAGTTTGAGGTTTCAAATTGCACCCATCAACATGGCTAAGATTAACTTTAAAAGTGACAGCGTAAGTTGGTGAGGATGTAAAGGAAACAACCAACCACTACGGGTCAGACTGCAAACTTGTATTCTCACAAGGAAAATCAGTGTGGTTGTTCCTCAGGAAGATGGGAATCAATCTACCTTAAGATCCAGCTATACGACTCTTGCACACATACCCCAAAATGCTTCATCCTATCACAGGGATACTTGTTAAACATGTGCATTGTCGTTATATTCATAATAGCCAAGAATTGGAAACAACCTAGATGTCCCTCAACAGATGAAAGGATAAAGAAAATGTGGCACATTTACACAATGGAATATTACTAAGTATTAAAAAATGAAATCATAAAAGTCTTAGGTAATGGAGGGAACTAAAGAAAAAAATCATCTTGAGAGAAGTAAGTCACACCCAGAAAGACAAATATGGTATTCACTTATATGTGGCTATTAGCTCTTGAATCAAAGCTACAATACATAGAACCACAGAGGATAGATATAGACTAAGGGAATGGGGGGACATAATAGTTATGGATGGACTAGACGAAGGGGACTGGAATAAAAGGTCAAGTGGGGACAGTGAGGGAAGAGAATGATGGAGAAAACACAGGGAAAGTCACCTAAAATTAAAATCATTTGAGGGGTAGTATGGAAACCTAGTAGAGTAGAAACTTACTAAAATATTATACATATATGAAAATGATCTAAATGAAATTGCTAAATAATGGGGGAGCCAAGAGCCTCACTTGGAAATCTCTTGCCACCAAATGATGTTTCCAGTATTGGGAATGGGTCACATCTAATTGATGGCTGATGGGATCTAATGGGAATCCCCAAACAACTCAGACTGTTACCAAGGTTGGTTGCTCTCCACAGACCCTATAGATGAAGACAATACCTACACAATTCATGGAACATGGATGAGTCATGCTGGTGCCTACCTAAAGTATAGTCGGGCTAGTGTTTTGGGTACCAGAAGGTACTCTGACAAATACCAAAGGAGAAATGTAAACCCCAACCCAGCTACAAACTCTCTGATTTACAATGGCCTCAAGATATGCTGGCACAAAGTTTGTGGGAGTAACTAACCAATATCTTATTTGACTGGAGGCCCACTCAATGAGATTGGACCCATTTCTGACATTGCACTGGTGAGCAAGAATATGAGACTAGGTAGTCCTGGGACCTAAAGGAAAACCAAATATTACCTTTTACTAAAGGAACATAGCAATAAGATGACTCCTAATGCCTACACATAGTCATAGATCATTGGCTTGCTCAGGCGTCATCAATCTTCCTGCAGTAGATGGAAATGAAAACAAAGACCCACACTTAGACAATATGCAGAGAGTAAGTGACCTTAAACACACAGTTCTAAGAAGGTATCTCCACTAAATTCATGCGCTCAGGCTTCAGAGAACTATTTGGAAGTGAAAGTGAAAAAGTCCTAAAGGCCACAGAAGATGGAGGACACTATGGAAAAAAAAAAACCCTTCTAAAGGTAACAGGACTGACACACATATAAACTCACAGAGAATGAGGCAGCATACACAGGGCCTGCATGTGTCTACACCAGATGAAGCCATAAAGCTGAAGAGAAGTAGACACATGTCCCCATCGCTAACCCAGAAGCTATCTCCAATCATTAACTACTTGCAAATAAAAATTTAGTTTTGCCCAAGGAAGTCTCACTGGGGAGACTCTTTCTTTCTTTTTCTTCTTAATTTTATCTTTAAAATTTTTTATTTTATTTTTTTATCTCACAGGTCCATTGCTTACACATTTTGGATCCCAGTTTTGTGTTCTTATAGGATTCTTTTTGTTTTTTTAATTTTTTATTGAGAAAAAGAAAAAAAAAAGTTTCCGCCTCCTCCCAGCCTCCCATTTCCCTCCCCCTCCTCCCACCTTTCTCCCCCTCCCCCCACTCCTCTCCCCTTCCCTCTCCAGTCCAAAGAGCAGTCAGGGTTCCCTGCCCTGTGGAAAGTCCAAGGTTCTCCCCCCTCCATCCATGTCTAGGAAGGTGAACATCCAAACTGGCTAGGCTCCCACAAAGCCAGAACATGAAGTAGGATCAAAACCCCGTGCCATTGTCCTTGGCTTCTCATCAGCCCTCATTGTTCGCCATGTTCAGAGAGTCCGGTTTTATCCCATGCTTTTTCAGTCACAGTCCTTATGGGATTCTTGAGTGTGCATGAATGAGTGGGAGGTGTGGGAGGTCCTTCTGTCTATGTGGTGCTTTTATTGGTTAACGAATAAAGGAAATGCCTTGGCCTATTGATAAGGCAGAGTAGAATTAGGCAGGGAAAACTGAGCTGAATGCTGGGGGAACGAAGGCAGAGTCATGAGAACCAAGTAGCACCACCAGAGCCAGATGCCAGACTGAGGTTTACCTGGTAAGCCACAGCCAAGTGGCAATACACAGATTAATAGAAATGGGTTTAATTAAGATGTGAGAGCTAGCCAATAAGAAACTAGAGTAATAGGCCAAGCAGTGATTTAATTAATACAGGTTCTGTGTAGTTATTTCAGGTCTGAGTGGCTGGAATGAGCAAGCGGTCTTCTACAACAAGTAGGTCTCAGCATTTATCTGTTCTTGTGCCTTTTCTTGGATGCTTCTTCTTCTGTTTGTTTTGTCCTGTTCTTAAGTGTTTCTTTTTATTTTATTATATCATATTATTTTGTTATTATCTCTTACATGCCTGTTTGTTTTCTCATGAGACAGAGATGATGGATCCAAATGGAAAAGTAGGGAGGAAAGAACTGTGAGGAACACATAATATCCTGAATAGTGTTGTAAAACTCAAAGTTTTATAACTGAAAGTAAAAATTATTTTCAAGATATTAATCTTCACTTAGAATGGATTGTGGATATCAATCAATTAAAATGCTGTAATTTTGTAGTTCCCCTCTTTGGTTTTTTGTTTTTGTTTTTGAGACAGGGATTCTCTGTGTAACACTCCTTGCTGTCCTAGATCTCACTCTGTAGATCAGGCTGACTTCGAACTCACAAACTTAAGCTATTTCCTGATATGTCACTACAAACCACAAGGAGCTGAGAAAGTGGTAGGTTAATGCTCAATTCTAAACAAGTTACTATGCTATCTCGATGAGGCTCAGGGCACACTGTGGAACATGGGGCACAAAGATCTTAAGAGTCAGACACCAAGAAGGGCTGTGAAATATCTTCTTGGTAAGACACAGCTGCTCTGATCAGAAACCCACAGCAGATGTGGATGATTGCACTAGTTTGAACAAGAAGGGTTTCTTTAACAACCACATATGGGGAAAGAGGAAGCAGGAAGCCCTACCCCTCTCTGATGAACTATTAACAATTGATAGATTAAGAGAAAAAGAATATTGTGACCCCATCACCACATTCCAATTGGTAGTTCTAATTATTTGTATCACAGATAGTCAAACTAAATCTCTCTCGCTCTCTCCCTCTCCCTCTCCTTCCCTCTCCCTCTCCCTCTCTGTCTCTCCCTTCCTCCCCCTATCCTGGCCTCTCTCTCTGTCTCTTTCACACACACGCACACTCACAATGTGAATTTAGGAAAGTAACTGGTAGCAGATGGTGTAAACAGGGACTGGAGGGAGATAGGAGTAGGTGAGGGTGACAGTAAACAGAATACATTATACACATGTGTGAAAGGGTTAAATAACAAAATTAGTTGATAAAAGAGAACTGAAGTCACATGAAAGTTAGTGATAATTATGATGGGCAAAGGAAGCTAAGATAGGTAAGGTAAGAAGCAAACATGGCAAATCTGAGACTTAAAAAAGAGTAGGCAAGATCAATTGAAACAGGTATTAGTGAAGTTGAGAACTTGACGGAATCAAAATTCCAGAGTAAATGAGCTAAGACAGCTGGAGGCCATAAATGTAGATGATGGTTGAATTAGAGAATCGTTAACAATGAAGAAGAGGATATGATCACAAGGTAAATGGCCTAAAAAGTACACAGCACACAGTAGGCAGAGGAAATAATAGCTGGTATACTGGCAGGAGAAGAAGGAAGAAAGGAACAGTGAAATTGATTTTGAAAATGTCACAAAGCAAGGGATGTAACACCACATGTGTCAACTGCAGCCACAGCGTACATGAGCAGTGTCATCTTGTGCATGACTTCATAGTTGTGCTTGGGAAGGACAGGAGGACAAAACCAAAGTATACTAAGGAGGAATTAGCCCGCAGGCCCAGTGGTCTCACTGTGGAGGAGGAGAACTTGAAACCCAGTAAGAGGACTGTGATAGACCCAGTAATCTCAGAGGAGAAATCAGAGTTGAATTAATGCCTTTTTTTTTTTTTGATCCAAAATGTATCAACACAGATTCTGGAAATAAAAACTAAAAACAACAACAAAAGCAACCCAGAAAACAAACAAAAACAGTCTTAACACTTACAAAACTGCAATGCAAGTAAGAAATGTAATATAGAAGTGATTAATGAATGCAAGTATATTTTATTGCAAGTTAACATTTTATAGACCATTATTTTACTAAGAAATTATTTACTAAATTGTAGGACGCATATTCCTAAAAGCAGTACGAAAATTTAAATATTTTAATATTTGATCGATTATATACTCCACACTAGTGTGAATTAGATACCAAATACAACAAAGTAGTGTGTGTGTGTGTGTGTGTGTGTGTGTGTGAGTGTGTGTGTGTGTGTTACAAGGAAACATATTTCTTTCTATAACAAAAGATTCTAAGAGGGAAATAAAGAAGATCTGAGCAAAATTCACTGTTTCGGGATGTTAAGAGAGGCGAGAGGGCACGTGTATGCTTCTGTGGGCACAGCAGTTACCTGAGACACAGCGGCGTCCCGCTCTTCTATCACTGCCTTCATTTCTTCTGCAGTTATTCTCCTTTTACACTCCTTGGTCTTGTAGATTCTATCCACAATTAGAGCTCCATTCTTCTCAATAGCTATCCCAGTGTCTGCATTGTTTATTCTGCTCAGTAATTCCTGTAATGTCTACCAACACCATTATATGTTAGTCAGACATGAGGTTTTAATATATTTTATTTAATATAGGGTTTTAATTAATAGGCACATGTGAATTGTAAATTGACTGAGTGAAGTTATTGAATTTTCATATTGCAGCAAAGATGTACATTATTAGTGTGTCAATTCTTCTTTTTCCCACATCTTAGTTCTTGAAACCCACTCAATTGAACTTAAGCCTCTAAGATATAAGACTGACATCAAGAAATCTCCTCAGAGAATGGCTTACCATGTCATTTTCTTCAGGGTTAATATTTTCTAGCCTAGAAAAAAGGGACACAGAAAGCCTGATCAGTAGCATTTCCTTAGAGCAGCAAAATGAGTTCGCTTTTTAAATCTTTAGAACCTCGAGTAATTTCATTCGCCTAGTCTTTAGAGTCAACCATGACACTGAACATATTAAAGTGGCACCTGCTCGACGCCGTCTTCCAATAATGCTCTCTATCTTCTGCTCTGACTTCAGACTGTTAAGTTATTAATGTTTACTGCTATATATGACTACAAGGATCAATTGTTCATATGTGTTTAGATGAAGAAAGTTCCCCAGTGACAGAAGCACTCTTTCTCATCATGATATTTATTCCTGTTCTTTCAATTCTGATCAGAAACTATTTCCTTTCTTTTTTTTTGGAAGCTGCCACAAGTAAAAAACAAAGCAAGCATTTTTATTACAAAGTTTAACTAAGGTAAGCAATGACAAATAATTGCACTAAATTAAACCTGAAAATCTATTGCAGCACCTAGTATACAAACACACCGAATATACAAGCAGACCAAAATTGAACCATACTTTAGATGAGTGGGTTTTTTTTTCTGTTTTCATATTTTATGGAGTCATTCAATTGAAAGAGAAAGACAATTTTCCTCTTCATCAATGCATTTTCTGATAAGAATTATCACGTTTACTGAAATGCTTATTAACAAGGATGAACTGAATAAATGCACTAATGGAAAAGACAGTCTATGTGATATATTTTGGAAAACAGAATTTAGGCAATGGTTCTGTGATGGATATTAGTAAATGACAGATTTAAAAAGAACTGGGATTATTTTTAAATTGTACTAAAGGTTTACCAACCAGTTTCTTGTCTTCTGAGACCCTCTCCATATTTGCAGTTTTGGGATTTACCACAAAAAGGATGTTACGAAAAATTATTAGAAACAATTGATAAATATGCTACAGAATTGTTCCGAATGACACAACTGGATAAACAGCACTATAATCAGGGGGAAAGTAGCTGTTTTTAAACGGAGCAATTTAATAGAAAAAAGCATAAACAGAAAACGCTGTGTGTACACAGGGGCATACGACACATACTGACACAACGGTAAGAGCTAGAGACCCTGATTACATACAACTGCGGCTCACAAGCGTCTACTAGTTTGCTTTTATTCACATCTCTAGAAGAGCAAATATTCTTGTCTTTTATAGAGTTTCTCTAAAATAAATTACATGTTCAGAGATGTGACTTATAAACGTTTATTTGACAATAATTTCAAAGTAGCCAATTGTTTTGTACTCACTTCAAAAGCAGAGCAGAAAATCAGAATTCTTTCACAGCAAGAGTACTTGAATGTTGGTAGCATTTATCTTCACTTACACTTAGCCAATAAATTTTAAATGGAGTCATGTATTTTAAAATATCTTGGTATTAAAGTTTTTCAGAAGAAACCAAACTAAAAGCTGATCACTATAGTTTCCAGAAAAATCAGTATAAATACTTAAAATTTTAAAAATTATTAAACATAAAATTAAAATATGAGAGGACAGATGATAGTCAAACATCTAGATTGGTAGACTTCTGGTAATCTTTAAAAAATTTTGATAGTTATGGTAATAAGCTTGCAGCTTTGGTTTCTACCAAATAAAAATAATAATAATACCGGAATGTTATCTAATTTGTATAGCTGGGATAATCAACAGAACACAATGTTTGAGGGGATTTTCCCTATAATACTTATAAGTTATTTTGGAGTATGGCAATATGAAAAATTATTACTTTAAGGAGAGGAAGATAACGAGTTCAAATATTTTAAATGAACAACTCTTCATAATTTAGAAACAGTTTACTGAATTTAGTCTAGTATTAAAATCCACAGCTAGTAATAAACAATTTTTAAGTTAAAATTGATTTCTTATAAAAGGCTTAATAATTATCAGCATGAGAACTTATCTCTCAAACTTTAAAGTATCTGTGTGACCAGTTTTAAAATAATATGTAATGACTTTTAATTAGACAGTAAATAAACCTGAACTGTTTTTAGTGAGCCTTGTGTGCTAGATCTCACATGCTGAGAAGAAGCGAGCAAAGCCAGTCCCTTTTCTTTTTATTCTCAATCCTGTTTATTATTTTTACTACTATTATACTATTGTTATTACTTATAATTAACTGAGAAAAACTTGATATTTAAAAATTTGTATATATGCATGCATAACATAAGCTTATAATAAAGAGAAAAGACTGCTGCTCTTATTTCTCCTTTGCTTACAAAGTCTTGGGGATGTGTTTATCACAAACATCAAATGATAATGTCATAACAATCATCTTAATAAAATTAAATAGAACAGGAATCAGTAACTTTTTTAAGAGGCAGGCACTAACTATATTTGGATCAGCTTCTTCTTTCTGTCTTACCTCCCCAACCTTGCCTTTGTAGTGCTAAAACATAGACAATCGGCAAGAGGATGGGCATGGCTAGGTTTCAATAAAAGTTTATTTATAGAAATAGGTGACAGGTTGGCTGTATAACATAATCATTATTTCTCCCTGAAATAGAGTATTAAAAAGTGAAACCAGATTTTTAATGTTAATAAATTAAAGATGGAAGTCAGTATATTTCATATAATTTTCTGGACAAGGGTCATCAATTATCTTGAAGTAATGAACAAAATTATTATCAGAAAATTATATTGAGGCTTTCAACAGGTAAACCATGCACTGTAACATTTACTGTTGCACCAAAATTAGACATTCTATCTTTTCAAAAGAAATAATATAAAACAACTACATAAAATATATAAGGCCTTCAGTTTTATATAAAATGATCTTAGATTGATAAAGTTTACTAGAAGCATGTATAAAACAACAAAAATGCCTGGTTTAATAAAAGATTTAAAGTAATGATATTATATAAAATATAGGGCTTGCAAGTAGATAAGAGAATCTTAACCATTTGTAAACTCATAATAATGCTTACTACAGTCTAACTTAACATCGTCATGATAATTAGTTAAGAATTTTGCTGAGGTAAATGTTCATGGGCTCAGGTTTCAATTGATTTCCTTTACCATGCAAATTCTGACTGACAAGTTTGCGATCTAAGTGAAAAACCCATGCATGAAATGTCACATTTCTTGAGTTTCCCGTTGATCCATCAATATTATCATTTTCTTTCCTGAAAGTTAGCTCAATAATAAGAAGCAGAATAATGGCCTCAAATGATATAGAGTTTGCGATACAAAAAATACAAATAAAAACATTTGAGTCCAGTAAAACATTCTGTAGATATAAGCAAAATGATTTTAAAATATATCTAGGGAGGTAAAGGTACTAGAATAACTGCATGATTCTTTAATAAGGAGAAAAGTTGGAGCAATATGTGGTTTTAAGGCATAAAAAGATTCAGAAATTACGGCTATATAACACTGGCAAAGAAATAGACATATATATATATATACACATATATATATGTATATATATGACAAAATTATGCTTGATAAAAGTACAAAGACAATCCCAGTGCAATAGGCTTTGCATTCAATGTTAATGGAATAATTGAGTACCAATATATAGAACAACAACAAAAATAATATATAGATTAATAACAAAAAGAAATCATGTTTCTTATAACTTCTGAAAAACTAAAAATGAATCACATATTGCCATGATTCAAAACAGAAATGTTTCCCAAAGGCTCATATTTTGAGCGTTTGTTCCCCATATGGTTTGCAGTGGCTGTGGAACCTGTAGTGGGGTGGGTATATAGGCTCAAGTAGAGCATTAGGAACAAAACTTGAAAGGTTGTATACTAGCCCCCATTCCTTATACTTTCTGAGGCCTGGTCTGCAGCAAAGAGACTGACACTGCCAAATGCTCCTACTTCCATGGACTGAAGCACTCCACCATGCCTCCCCTTTATCATCAAGTCCTGAAGCCTACTGAACTCCAGGTCAAAATAAACTCTTTTTTTCTTAAGATGACTCCATTGGGTATTATAGTCAAAGAAACACACATGTCAGTGGAAATCTGGTACAGAGAAGTAGGCTTGCCACTGTGATGAACTTAACATGAGGTTCTTGTGCTTCTGGATAATTTGTGGGAAGAATATGCAAGAGTTTGAAGATATAAACTATAGTGACACAAGAATTATAAGTATTATTAATGAGTGATTCTGGTAGAAATATAAAACCACATCACTGAGAGAAATGCATGCAGTAAAAGCCTAGCTTGTGAGCTTTCAGGCTAGAACAGGATTCTGCTGGTAACTAGACTATATGCCATTTGTGTTATCATTGGGCAAAGAATTATGTCTGAGCAGGTCTTGAAAATCTAAGCAAAGATGAATTTGAAAATATGGGACTAATTATTAGATGAAGAAAATATCGAGATAGTGTAACACCTAGGCTATAAAATAGTCATCGGTGTCTACTTTTAGCTATATTTATTGTAAGAATCATGAGCAAAAAGCAAAGGAGTTGAAAAACACAATAGGTTATTGGTTAGATGGTGACTAAGTAGACAAAAAAACAACTAAACATTACTAGCCAATGGAGAATACAAATGAAAACCTCGATGAGATAGCTCATCCCAATCAAAAATGAGAAACAATTGCAAGTGATAATACAGAAAACTGTGGGCTCATACAATACTAGTAGGAACACATATCAATTATAGAGGAAAATAGTGAAGAATCTAAAAGAATCATACTATATGAACCACCTATCTAGTTCTGAGTATATACACAAAGAAAACAAAATCAATATATCAAAGATAACTACATTCCTTTGTTTACTATATAATTATTCACAATAGCTAAAATACATAGTAACTGGGGTATCTACTAGCAGCTAAAAGAATAAAGAGTATCATTCAGGCTGTTATTCAGCTTTCTGACACTGTGACTAAATACTTGAGACAATCAATCTAAAAGAGGCTCAGGCTTGTCTTAACCATAATTTCAGAGCAAGGTCATATGGCTCTACTGCTTTTGGGTTCTAGGGAGGCAGTCCACGCAACAAGGAGCATGCTGAGATGGAAACTGCAGATCTAGTGATGACAAAGAATCAAAGACAGAGGAAGAAACTGGGGCCTCAATATTCCCTTTGGTGGCTCAACCTTCTAATAATGCACGGCTCTGAAAGGCTTCATCACCTCCCCGTGCTGCCACGGGATGGAAATCAATCCTTCAACATATGAGTCTTTGGGAGGAGACATCTAAGATCTAAAGAATATTACAGCCATACATGTCTGATCCCTAGGACCTATGTAGTGGAAAGGGAGAATCAATTCCTGACAGTTGTCTTCTGACCACCACACAGGTGTGGTAGCATGCACAAATCCACACCTACTCCACACCTTCTACTAGCCTTCCCACCTCAACACAAATAAATAAAATAACAAGTATTCTTAAAATAATAAGAAATTAGATTATATATAAAAACTGAATAGTATTTCTAGAATTTTTAAATATGGTCTTCTTTACCAAATAGAATCAACTGTGTTACCTCTTCAACTGTGCAGCCTCTTAGAGTCAATTGTACTGCATCAATAAGACTTTAAATACTGCTAATGATGTCGAGACATGACAGGACAGACAAACATGTGAACTCACAGAGACTGTAGCAGCATGTACAAAGCCTGCCATGTACAGGTTCAAGTCAGATAAGGCTCCAGTGCTGAGAGAGGGACATAGACAAGGGCTCCCATCCCAAACATTAGTGCACATACAGTAAAAAAAAAAAAACAATATATTAAAAAACAGACAAATAAAAAACCTGATATTAACGAAGGTAATGAGAAGAATCACATAGGAAAGTTGGGTAAGAACAGTGACAACAGGACTCTGAAGAAGTAACTACACTGAGAGCATGAATTTTCATTTTCTTTCTAAAAATTTGATTATCACCCTCATCAGGCAAACCACAAGCTTGCCTAAATTTTAGAGAACTATCACAGGGATATGAATTGTCTTAATGTAATAACAACAATCAGTAACACATGTGACTATGTAACCATAATACAAATCCATACATTTATAATGTTTATATCATACACGATTTTAAATGTATACACACATTTTCAGTGACATTTCCATATGCTTCATACGTGCGACTGCTTCATCTCTCTCCTCAAGGGCTAGCTGCAGTCTGCACATAATAGCTTCATCACGTTCTCTCTGCGCAAAATACACTTCTTCGACCAAAGCTACAAAACAAGAAAACTCAAAATCAGCTAAGAAATAAAAGAAATAAAATTTATGCCCTAGCAATGCTGAAGCATGTATGGGAAGCCCATATACTGTGGATCTGTTGAACTTGTCCATACTGGACTTCACGGTCAAAGAGGGCACCAGATCTCACTACAGATGGTTGTGAGTCACCATGCAGTTGCTGGGAACAGCAGGCAATGCTCTTAACCCCTGAATCATCTCTCCAACCCAAGAAAATAAAGAAGAAATGAGTAAATAAATGAAAAAATTCTACTATTTTAAAGATTATCCAACTAATTCAACTACTACCAATTAATGACTTGAGGAAGCATTTTTAATAATTATTGCAACATGAAGATATCTGGTATGTATAAAAGGAGAAAAAATTAAACAGCATACCTTTAAAAATGAGTTTGTTTAAAAAAATGAGACTCATAAATACTGCAATTATACATGTATATCAATAGCAATGAGCAACAAGTTAACAACATTATTAAAATCAAGCATGTCCCTACTGTAATCTAGAAAATAACTGCTATATTATAAAAAGACATTCATACACATAAGTGCAAAAGAAAACACACAAACATACTGACTGTGCTATCCTCTGTAGCAGCAAAACTTAAAAATCACCCAAATGTCCACCAAAACAAACAGGAATGGACATGCAAGATCTAATCTACATGGGAAGTAGAAAAAGACAAGATCTCCTGAGTAAATTGGGAACATGGGGACCTTGAGAGAGAGGGTTCAAGGGGAGGAGAGAGGCAGGGAGGGGAGCAGAGGAAAACGTAGAGCTCAATAAAAATCAATTACAAAAAAAAGAAATGCCACATGGCACTTGAATTAACTAAGAGAGGCAGACAAACAGAAATAAAACAGCAGGTTACAAACTAAAGCAACTCTCCCATGGATGCATATGCCCAACAGGACAGCAGCTCAATGAGTGCAATCGTGAGTTCACATTGTATATTCACACAGAACAGGAAGCACCTGTGGAGCAGATTACATTTCGAATGGCATCTCTTATTCTGTTGAGAACTCTGATATTATCTGAAACTGACTTTTCTTAAGTATAATTTTTAATACCCTGAAAATACCTTAAAATATTATAAAATGTTAAGCAATATGCCTCAAATACCTAGAGAGCAGTCCTAAATTTTATTTAGTCAAACCATAATGTAAACTTAGAAATATATAAAATACCCTTCATAAAATAGTAGGCTCTAGCCATGGCTGTTATAAATGAATACAGCTGTTCAAGACAACTATTGGCTTACTTAAAAATGGTGGTAAAGAAGCATCCTGAGGATAAACAACTACCATGTAACTAAACTAGTATAACCCCTAACTACATTTCAAAGACTTGTCCTTACACCCACAGATCAGCTTAGTCCTCACCCCTCAGCACAGTGGAACTGATCTAATGGGAGCTCACCAAGGCCAGCTGGACTGGGACTGAATAAGCATGTGATCAGACCGGACTCTTTGAATGTGGCTGACAATGAGGGCTGACTGAGAAGCCAATGATAATGGCACTGGGTTTTCATTCTACTGCATGGACTGGCATTTGGGGAGCTTAGTCTGTTTGGATGCACACCTTCCTAGACCTGGATGAAGCGAGGAGGGCCTTGTACTTCCCACAGGGCAGGGCACCCTGACTTCTCTTAATACTAGAGAGGGAGGAGGAGTGAGGGGAGGGGGAGGGAAATAGGAGGAGGGGAGGAGGTGGAAGTTTTTAATAAATAAATAAATTTTAAAAAAAAAATGGGGAAAAAACTGATGTAGGAAGGTCACTGGTTAAATAAAAAGAAACTGCTTGGCCCTCATTGGTTAGAAGATAGGTGGGAGGAGTAAACAGAACAGAACACTGGGAGGAAGAGGAAGTGAGCTCAGACTCCACAGCTCTCCTCTCGGGAGCAGACGCCTCAGAGAGACGCCATGCTCCCAGCTCCCAGGAAGACGCACGCCATGAAGCTCTGACCCAGGATGGACATAGGCTAGAATCTTCCTGGTAAGTGCACCTAGGGGCGCTACACAGATGATTAGAAATGGGCTAAATTAATATGTGAGAATTAGCCTAGAAGAGGCTAGATAGAAATGGGCCAAGCAGTGATTAAATGAATAGTTTGTGTGTTGTTATTTCGGGCATAAGCTAGCCAGGCAGCCGGGGTGCTGGGGACGCAGCCCCGCCGCTCTTATTACTACAAATGGCGCCCGACGTGATGGACTAAACCCACTTAAAAAACCTGAGAAGGCTTAAAAATAAGGAAGAGAGAGTTTAACTCAGATTTTTGCTGTTTGTTGGTGGCGTGTTGTAGAGAGATTTCCTGATTCGGCAACAGCAGCAGAAAAAAACGCTGTGTCATTTTAAAGCACAGCTTCTTGGGGCTGTGCTGCCAGCGTGAACTCTGGCTTTAAAGCATTTGTGGCACTCTGCTTGCTAGAGGCAAGCAAGCGCTCTCATCTAAGAGAAGCTTCCTGACTCAGCTTTAGCTGCAAAACCCTGCAGCTCATTAAGAGGTCCTGCCACGAAACACTTAAATGGTGTTGACGAAAAGCTGAATGCATGCTTTTCGGTTTTCAGCCGTAGCAGGAAAAAAGCTGCGCTGTTTAAAAATGCCAGCTTTCTGGGCTGTCCTGCCAGGGAAAACTCTGACTCTTTTACGCAGGTGGTTCATGTGGTTTGCAAGCACAGGCTGCTGAAGCTCACTTGCTGGCAGGGACCTTGAAATGCCATAGAGTTGTGGCAGTAAACATGGCTACAGCCAGTACCTCAGCCATGAGGCTGGAAAGCTAAGGAATGGGCTGGATCCAGCCGTCAAAGCCACAGCTTTAGTCCTACTGAGATTGCTTGGTAAATTAAAGGCTCTTGTGGTCAGAAAAAGAGAGATATACAGCAAAGAGAGATTCAAAGACAAAGAAAATTTCTAAATGGTTTACTGTGTGTAAAAAAAAATATGCAAGCTAAAAGTTGAAGTTCTTAAAGTAAAAAAAAAAAGGAAGAGAGTTGTTGTGTGTGGTAGTACACACCTTTAATCCCAACACTTGGAAGGCAGAGGGAGATAGACCTCTGTGACTTCAAGGTGTGGTAGCACACGCCTTTAATCCCAGTGCCTAGAAGGCAGAGACAAACAGTTCTCTGTGAGTTCAAGGTGTCCTAGTGTACACCTTTAATCCCGAATGCCTGGGAGGCAGAGACAGGCGGATCTCTGAGAGTTCAAGGACAGCCTGGTCTACAGAGTTACTTCAGGTCAAAGATACAGAGAACCTGTCTCAAAAAGCAAAGAGTTAAAAGTAAAAATAGACAAAATAGAGGTTAAAACAAAGCTGCACAAAGATGGAAAATACACCGAGAATTTTGATACTGTATGCTATTATGCTCTCTTTGAACTGTTTAAATGCTGAGGGAGGAGCAACAGATGCTAAAAGATATTTATTTATAAATGCTGCTGAACTAATCCAACATAGATATTTTGATGCCTTGACTTTGAAATTTGGATCTAAGGACATGATGCTTTGGAAAGGAGTTTCTTATTTTGTTTTCACAGAGGATCAGACCCTGTTCATTTCTTCTATTCCGATTTGGTATGATGGGCCACGCCCTCCTGAAGGGTTGTTGTGAACATCTTCAGAAAATTGCTTCGCTCAACTGCCAACTGAGATGAAACTAGCACACAGGTTATACCGTGAAAGACCTAATTAACAACGCCCCCATTCAGCAGGAAGCAGTTTGGAGAGAAAAAAACTGCGCCCATGTTCCCAAATATGGTTTATAAATGTTCTTTTACATTTAAAGGGGGATATGATATAGGTATGAATAATTTGCATTAGTATAGATTTTGCTTTATTGATAGAGATTTACGGTCAATTTTGTTATATGTATATGTATTTCTGATATTGATTAAGGTATTGTGCTTGTGTAGTTCATTATTAAAATGTAATGTACAATTAGGAAATATAGGTTGTTGATGGATAATCATAAATAATAGTCAAGTTTGTAGTCATGTTAGTTAATATTTTCTAGATGTGTGTAGATATATTTTAGATAGGCATTCTTCATATTTTTCAAAGATTATAGAATATGGCATTTTAAATGTTTTAATAACTGAGGACTTTTCATGACAATGAGACACTCTGCTCCTGGTAGCACCAATCTACTTCAAGAAGAAGATGGGCATCGAAGAGGCTCGTTATGGAGTTTGATAGCCATTTGGGCAAGAAACTGTTCTTGCCTGGACTATTGCATAAACTGGACACAGAGAACCCACAGAAAGAGGACTACTGAACTTGCCTAAGGTGAGATGGTCTTTCAGGGTTCCTGATTCATGAAAGAGTCTGTGAGACATTCTGCAGGACACAACAGATAGTGACTGAACTGACTTTGAATTTTCCTGCTTTATGGAAATGTCTGCTGGATACCATGGGCCTGAAGGCTGAAGATTGATGCCCCAACGGTACAGAGGAACATTGGGTGACTGTCCAGGCAGCAAGATTTCTCTGTCATTTCTAGAGTTTTAAAAGTTTCTTTTTTCTTGTTTGCTTAGGTAGTATTGTATCTTTCTGGAGTCTTTGATGGAGTTAAGAATAGTTAGTTACAGTTATAGTTTTCCTTAGTTATGATAAAGATTATTGTAACTTTTACTTGATAACTGTTTTGTTATATGTAATTTTGCTATGTTAAAGTTAAAGCCTTTTTTTGTTTAAACAGAAAAAGGGGAAATGATGGAGGAAGGTCATTGGCTAATAAAGGAACTGCCTTGGCCCATTTTATTGGTTAGAAGATAGGTGGGAGGAGTAAACAGAACAGAACACTGGGAGGAAGAGGAAGTGAGCTCAGACTCGACAGCTCTCCTCTCGGGAGCAGACGCCTCAGGGAGACGCCATGCAACCAGCTCCCAGCCAGACGCACGCCATGAAGCTCCGACCCAGGATGGACATAGGCTAGAATCTTCCCGGTAAGCGCACCTAGGGGCACTACACAGATGATTAGAAA